ATCACACAAGTGGGAACAACACACCATACTTGCCATACTTGCATAACTAACGCACTAGTTGTCGCAGGAACTCTTTTTTTTTTTTTTCTTGGGAGTGGGGGGGGGGTGACTGCTCTCACCTGTGTACTCGCCTATTTGTGCTTGCGGGGGGTTGAGCTTTGGCTCTTTGGTCCCGCCTCTCGACTGTCAGCTGGCTTGGCAACGTGTGTGTATTAGACATTCAACCCACAATTCAGAAAATACAAGTAACGACGTCGCTGTCCGTCCTGGACGTGTAATGTCTTGGTGTCTGCTGTCTTAATTTAATTTTCGGCTGCATTGTGAATTAATATCTGAAAATATTTGTTGAGGGTTGTGTAGTACCGAGGTGTACTTACTCAGAATCGAGGATCCCGTATTAGAGCCCCGTGTGGGACACACTTAGTTTGGCTAGTTTCCTTTCACCTGATGTCTCTGTTCACCTAGCAGTAAATAGGTACCCGGGAGTGAGGCAACTGTTGTGGGTTGCATCTTGAGGAAAAGTCAGTAGTTGACCTGGGAGTGGGGAAGGGGGGGGGGACTTCGATAAGACTAAGTACAGGCTTCCTGTCCCCGACAGGGTTGTCACGATGAGTGTCACAGCATAACACGTGCTTGATAGAGAGAGAACTATCAACATCAGAGGCCCGAGACTAAAACACGCTCGTTAATTATTGGCCGACACCTCGCACTGTTCAAGCGAGATCTTGATAAACACCTCCAAAGAATACCTGATCAACCAAATGAACAAATCCACAAGGGCCGTGACGAGGATTTGAACCTGCGTCCGGGAGCATCCCAGACACTGCCTTAAGACGACTGAGCTCATTTGATGCATCACGTTAGTGTGATCTCTGTGTGTAATGACCTGATCAATCAGGCTGTGATTCATACGTCAGGCGAGCAGCCACGTCCAACAGTCTGGTTGACCAGTCCAGCAACAAGGAGGCCTGGTCGAGGACCGGGACGCTAAGCCCCAAAATCATCGCAAGGTAGGACAGTGGGAATTACTATCGTAGCAGAGTTGCTAGCTGGCCAGCAGTGGGACACCACCCTTCAGGGACCCTGTGTGTAGTGTTGACACCCCGCGCCTGTGGGGTTAATCTGCTAACATTCTCCATATCCTGAGGGACCATCAGTTAAGTGTACCTTGCACGTATTTGCTCTCGGCTCTAATTCCAATAACAATTTCACTTTAAGATTAACTCGTTGAGATCATCTTCTGCATTATGGGGAAAAGTGTCATTTGGTTGGTGGAATTCATAAATTGCAGGATGTCTCTATTGCCACACGATCCTTGCAGGCGTTATTCAGGAAGGTATAATTGTTATTTCTATACTACTTTAAAGACTACTACTTTGTAGTAGTTTTTAAAACGGTTTATTACACGAACGTCAGGTAGTCCGTTCGCGATAGAGACGCGTGTACTGGCGTTCGCGAATTCTAGACGTGATCAAAGGATTCGGCTGCTGTACTGTATTCACGGCGCTGGGTCCTCGATACCCGGCGCTGTATATGTATGTTTTTGTGAGTTAAAGGGAGAGAATATTATGACGCGTGAAACACAGTCGAAGAAACTTTAACTCCTGCCCTGTACAAGTAGCGTATATACTTGATGGAATATTCCCCATATCTGACAACGCGATTGATTGATTGATGAAGATTAAGCCACCCAAAAGGTGGCACGGGCATGAATAGCCCGTAAGTGGTGGCCCTTTTGAGCCATTACCAGTATCAAGAGCTGGTACTGGAGATCTGTGGAGGTGCAACTGCACCCTGCGTGACGGGAGATGTCTCCCGGACAACTCTAGCGTCGGGGAAGAAGACATACCAAGTATCAAAAAAGAAAAAAAGTGGGCTATTTCTTGGGGGCATAAAGTACCCCATATTAACTGTTGGGTAAATTTTGTTAGCATGGCAGGCAAGTAATTTGGTGCTCGGGTGGACGAGTTGGTAAAGTTGTAGGAAGGTTGCAGGAGGAGGACGGCATAACCTGTAGTGGGGGGGGGGGGGCAGTTTGGTAGGGGGTTGAAAGTGGAGAATGAAGATTCTGGAAGAATAGACAGTATTGAAGATGGGGGGGGGCGGGGGGGATAAGAGGGTTCAATGGTGCTGGGGGCTGGGGGGGGGGGGGTATTAGCCGGGGAACAAACTAGCAAGTGAGAGTGGTTGTGTGTGTGTGTGGGGGGGGGGTGTTGTCGTCCGTGTTAGGTGAGGCCGGCTGGTTCTTGTTTACCAAATGTGTACATGCATTGCTGGCTGACTCATGGCGGGGGAGGGGTAGAGGGGTGGGTGGTGTGTGTGTGTGTGTGTGTGTGTGTGTGTGTGTGTGTGTGTGTGTGTGTGTGTGTGTGTGTGTGTGTGTGTGTGTGTGTGTGTGTGTGTGTACGTGTGTGTGTGTACGTGTGTACGTGTGTGTGTGTGTGTACTCGCCTAGTTGTGCTTGCGAGGGTTGAGCTCCAGTCCCGCCTCTCAACTGTCAATCAACTGGTGTACAGGTTCCTGAGCCTATTGGGCTCTATCATATCTACACTTGAAACTGTGTATGGAGTCAGCCTCCATCACATCACCTAATGTATTCCATTTGTCAACCACTCTGACACTAAAAAAATACTTTCTAATATCTCTGTGGCTCATTTGGGCGCTCAATTTCCACCTGTGTCCCCTAGTGCGTGTGCCCCTTGTGTTAAATTGCCTGTCTTTATCTACCCTGTCAATTCCTCTGATAATCTTGTACGTGGTGATCATATCCCCCTAACTCTTTTGTCTTCTAGCGACGTGAGGTTTAATACCCGTAGTTTCTAATCGTAGCTCATACCTCTCAGTCCGGGTACTAGTTTGGTGGCAAACCTTTGAACTTTTTTCAGTTTAGTCTTATCCTTGACTAGATATGGACCCCATGCTGGGGCTGCATACTCCAGGATTGGTCTGACATAGGTGGTATACAAAGTTCTGAACGATTCCTTTCACAAGTGTTTAAATGCCGTTCTTATGTTAGCCAACCTGGCATATGCTGCTGATATTATCCTCTTGATATGGGCTTCAAGGGACAGGTCTGGCGTGATATCAACCCCTAGGTCTTTCTCTCTCTCTCTGACTCTTGAAGTATTTCATCTCCCAAATGATACCTTGTAACTGGCCTGCTGCTCCCTACACCTATCTTCATTACATTACATTTGCGTGGGTAAACTGTGACCACCATTTGTTCGGCCATTCCTTTAGTTTGTCTAGGTCTTCTTGAAGCCTTAAGCTGTCCTCCTGTCTTAATCCTTCTCATAATTTTGGCATCGTCAGGAAACATTGAGAGGAAAGAGTCTATACCCTCCGGGAGATAATTTACGTATATCAGAAACAGGATAGGACCGAGTACAGAGCCCTGTGGGACGCCACTGGTGGCTTCACGCCAATCTGAGGTCTCACCCCTCACTGTAACTCTGCTTCCTATTGCCTTGGGTGTTATTGGTTTTTTTAAATTAATTTCCTCGTTTGTCAGCTTCTCGTGTGTTGCCACTGTCCAGGGTTTTGTTCAGGTGTTAGGCTTTGTGTTATAGCCACTTGAAAGCCTTTTTCTTCCGGTCTTCTATATATCTATCACCTTCTTTCCCTTTACCTTGGGATGAACTCTTAAGTGACGATAACGCTGACGCGCACTTTAGCATCCTCAGAGGGAAAGTGAATACAAATGTGCAGACAACACTGGTTACCATGTGGAGGTGACCTGGCACTCTAGCCCCTGGCACTCTAGCCCCTGGCACTCTAGCCCTGACACTCTAGTCCCTGGCACTCTAGTCCCTGGCACTCTAGCCCCTGGCACTCTAGCCCCTGGCACTCTAGCCCCTGGCACTCTAGTCCCTGGCACTAGCACTAGACCTGGCACTCACTGGTCGACTGTGGCAGTACATGGGTGTAAACTGCAGGTTCTTTTGTGAATGGAATAGTGTTCAAGCTTGCTGGTGGTAATTGAAATAGTGCGCTTGAGGTAAAGTGCGTTGAGGATATGTGATCTATTGTCACTGTATCTATAGATTGTTTAATTGTTGGCGTTCAGTCCATCTGAGTCGTTGTGGAGTCGATGGTATAAAAAGAACCTTACGACAGTTATGTTCCCAGCAAAGAGCGAACTTGGTTCCTTAATGTTCTACAATTTTACAGGTCACAGAGAAGGGATTATAGCGGGTTGGTGTGGAGGTACACGTGTCCGGCAGCCTCGGCCCCACACCTGCAGTGACACTGCTGGCCATGCAGGTGGTGTTGCATAATAGCCTCGGCCCACACCTGAAGACAGCTGGCCATGCTGGTGGTGTTGCATGATAGCCTCGGCCCACACCTGCAGTGACACTGCTGGCCATGCAGGTGGTGTTGCATAATAGCTCGGCCCACACCTGAAGACAGCTGGCCATGCTGGTGGTGTTGCATGATAGCCTCGGCCCACACCTGCAGTGACACTGCTGACCATGCAGGTGGTGTTGCATGATAGCCTCGGCCCACACCTGAAGACAGCTGGCCATGCAGGTGGTGTTGCATGATAGCCTCGGCCCACACCTGAAGACAGCTGGCCATGCAGGTGGTGTTGCATGATAGCCTCGGCCCCCACCTGAAGACAGCTGGCCATGCAGGTGGTGTTGCATGATAGCCTCGGCCCACACCTGAAGACAGCTGGCCATGCAGGTGGTGTTGCATGATAGCCTCGGCCCACACCTGCAGTGACACTGCTGGCCATGCAGGTGGTGGTGCATGATAGCCTCGGCCCACACCTGAAGACAGCTGGCCATGCAGGTGGTGTTGCATGATAGCCTCGGCCCACACCTGCAGTGACACTGCTGGCCATGCAGGTGGTGTTGCATGATAGCCTCGGCCCACACCTGCAGTGACACTGCTGGCCATGCAGGTGGTGCTGCCATTAACACGGATTTAGCCGTGTCTCATAAGGATAGTCAACTGAATCATTAGTATAATTGTCCTAATTACTTCGGAGACTAGTGATGCCCGAGGGTGGAAGTTCAGCTTTTTCTCAAGTCTCGGGTTCTAGTCTGGTCACAAGGAGCCAAGAGCTGCCGGCTACATCTTCCAAGGACTCTGTAGCACTTCAGAGGGAAAATGTACAATGCATTCTTGGTCCACCATCCAAGGAGCCAGGCAAATTGATAAGTTACTTTTTATCTTTTTCCCGCTATTGTAACTAGCCTTGTGTAATGAAGTTAAGAGCGTTGTAGAACACCATTAACACATGCAAGCCTCACAAAGCCCTCACGGTGCCGTATATTCTCTTCCCAGAGGCTAAGGTTCCCCACAGTGATGCTACATTCCCCTAATATATATATACATGTTAATAGTAATGAAATTGTATATTAAGAAAATTATTTATAAAAATAACCCTAACAACCTGCTTGCTTAAACCAACTAATGAATGGAAAAACGTATCGACAAGTTCATGTTTAATTTGAAAACTGACAGACCATTTTTGTGCCCTCTATAATCCTTTTTTGCGCCACCGCTCACAGGACGAGTATGGGGTGCACAATAAACTAGCCGGCTCCGGCGGCCACAATCAAATCCTTGAATGCAATGATGTTAAGGTGAAGGTTGTCGGAGGAAGACGTCGGCAGAGTGAAGCTGCAAGGTAAAGGGGATCATTATATCTCCGGACGTGGACCAGGTTTCTTGCCTCAAGGGTCACGTTACGGTAAGACGCACACCTCCTGGTTCCTCACCATGACCCTCTGAGTCCTATCAGAGAGGTGGTCCCTCGCCCAGCCCACCGCTGGACGGTGTCGAGAGCTTTCATCCAGTCCAGTAAAAAGACTCGGCCGACATTTCTAGCTTTTTTAAATCTTCCTTTCGCCGATGGACTTTAACTGAGTTGGTCAAGTTTGACTCTCCGCCTTTGAATGTACGTGAACATTTAGGAACGGTTTAGTTTATATTTGCGTCGCGTCTTGCGGCGCGCGCACGTGTTGTTGTGTGGGCGGGTGCGCGCGCGCGCTTGTTGTGTGGAGTCTTGCGGCGCGCGCACGTGTCTGCGTCAGTTCGGGTGCTCACCTGCGCCACTGGACGTGACTTCTCAACGTTTGGATTAATGGTGGATGTTATCCACTGAGCGCACGCACACCTGTTGTCTAACCCCCCCCCCCTCATCTCAAGATACACTCATCTCAAGATACAAACGTAATGTCTTATTTTCCGCTTGTTACAACTTGTAATAAGTTACATCTGGCTTAAGTAATACGTATTAGAACGTTGTTACAACTTGCTATAGATCTGGTTAGGTGTTAAAACTTGTTCGAACGTTGTACCAACGTCGTAGTTTCGGTGTGTGTTTGGAGGGTAGTAAGTGAAGATCAGACGCCTGAACATTTACATCAAATTGTCAGATGTATCGAGAGGGAGAGATGGGTGGGGGGGACATTACTTGCATGTATACATGGATGATAACAATACCTTTGTCGCAGTAACGACATCTGTGAACAGAACAAGGAATTCGTCTACACCTCTGAAGAAGAAATCTGAGACTTGACGGCCTAAATAATATAGGTGTGAACGCCAACCTTGAGCTGGTGGCGACGCCTCCGCCAGGGCCTCCGCCAGGGCCTCCGCCAGGGCCTCCACGCTGCAATGCCAGAGGTCTGGCAGGTGCGCGATTCTCCAACGCTTCGCCCAACAAATTTTGCTCGTGTGCCAGTTAATGAACATTTATATGCAACTGAAGATTGGTTTTTGGTTCGTGGAAGGGAAGAAAGGAAGGACGGGGGGTAGTGCAGAGGGCCGGGTGTGTGTGGGGAGGGTGGGTGATGGGGCGGGGCGTGCCAGTGTGGGCGGGGGGGGGGGGGGGAGGACAATACTGAGAGAAAACGAGGAAGGGGCCATTTATGTTAATGAGTGAAGGAGAGGTGTTGCCAGGTGAGGCAGGTAGGGAAGGAGGGAGGGAGAGGCGGCAGGCACGTCGCCACGGGCAGGAGTCATCGGTAATGTACGCCTCCACGTACATCCTGACTCCATAATAGCGGCCTCCTTCACATTTATTAAGCAGTCTAAACTCTGAAGCACTAAGTTATGAGAATAATATCCCCTCTAGGTTGCCAAGTTTCGGAGCTCGTGAATAATTATATAAATGTGAACAAAGTTGGCGTGAGTGTTGAAAGATGTAAGGGTTTCGTAAGTAGAGGCTTGGTGAATCCTGGCCCGGATTGTGGGAGAAGTGGTAAGAGTTGTGCAACCCGTTCTCGCACTTCCTTAGTCAATATTGACTTATTAAATAAGTGCATATGTGACATACTAATTGATTGTGAATATTTTAGTTTGCCTTGAAAAACTTCATAGAAAACACCGACCTCACCTAACCTTCTTAGTATGTTAAGATAAGCATCTTATTGCTTCTTCTCTACAATTATTACTTAACCTATCAACCAACGTTGGACAGCGGTGAGAGTGAGGATGGTGAAGGGGGGGGGGGACAAGAACAGCAGCAGGTGGAGAGGAGTGACGTTGCAACACTGGGAGTCGAGATACACACACATACACAGTTCAGTGTTACACTGTGGGCGTGTGTGGTGTGGGCGGCACATGGGCGTATCCCGCCTGGCCACCACTTGCCTGGAAGTGGTGGGCACTGTCGGGGGGGGGGGGGTATAGAAAAGTTACCTGTAGACAGCGTCATTGGTTTACGGGCTCACCATAGCCCGTGCTACTTGGTACTAATTGTTCAGAGGAGCTGACTCTAAAACAACGAGCAGCTTCATAATTAATCTACTCGGCCCAATATAAGCTTCTATACATTGTACAAAAGTATACATTAGTTTCCTAGATGTCGGCTACAGGCATGTACTTGTAAACTGCAGAGGTCTGGCAGGTGTGTAATACCAGGGGTCTGGCAGGTGTGCAATACCAGGGGTACACAAACATCGAGTTAGAAGCATCAATTAAGCCCGTGTGTGTGCATTGAGTGCCCATTGAGTGCCAAATGTGTCGATTGGTAACACTGCTGGTCACGGTAATTATCGGGAGAAATGTTAACCCAGCATCACTATATAACACATGGAAGGTATACGAGGACACTGTACCAGCACAATCAATGGCACAGTGAAGGAAGAGTGACCAAACCCCCTGGACCATTGGGGATCGAGTACAGACTTGCAAGAAGACCGCCGTTCAACCGATGTGTTGAAAAGAGGGCGAACAAACGAGGGGACTAAAATTCTGTTTAGGGTGCACTAAAATATATCAGGCGGACACTATCTACAATTCTACACAAGTATCGGATGTGATGATGTGTTCGGATGTGTTAACCTGAGTGGCGTTCTAAATATTGCCAGTCTAGTTAAACACTGTTGGGTTTGGTCACTAACTGGACAGGTGCCTGCGCTGACAGCTCATTGGCTAGAGTCGACCCCGTCCAGTCTAACTGGCTTTCCAGTCCCTGATGGTATTTCCAGGAGAGATGACTGAAGCATCTACCATATATGAAGGTAGTTGTTCAGTCGCTGGCCGTGTACGGTGTTTGGGTAGGTGGGTGTGTGCTTGCCTAGTTGTGCTTGGGGGAGGGCGGTTGAGCTTCCTCCGCTCTTTTGGAGTGTAATGAAGGAGTGTACAGCTTCCTGAGCCTATTAAGCTCTATCTTATTTCCATTTAAATTGTGTATGAATTCTGCTCCCTCCACAACACTTCCGTGTGTGTGTGTGTGTGTGTGTGTGTGTGTGGGGGGGGGGGGGGGGGGGGGTGTGTGTGTGTGGGGGGGGTGCGCGCGCGCGTGTGTGTGTGTGTGTGTGTGTGTGTACGTACGTGTGCCTGCGTGCGTCTGTCTGTGTATTTACTACTGTGAATAGAGCTATTTGCTCATGGATCCCGCATTTTTCCCTCTAGTTTTCCTCTATGTTTACTACATATATTTCTCTAACACACACATCCCCAAGAAGCAGCCCGTAGCAGCTGTCTAACTCCCAGGTACCTATATACTGAACAGGTGTATCAGGGTGAAGTTCCGCCTCCGAAGAGATTCGAACCCGGGCCATTAGGACTACGACCCAAAGGCGCTATTAATTCGGCCGCGAGGCCTCCAGGTCCCCAGCGCGTGTGAGCGCCTCCCACACCCCCCCCCCCCCCCGCCTCCGTCACATTAACTAACGGGGTACACTTAACCTGTGCCCAACCACTTGGGCTGGACGGTAGAGCGACGGTCTTGCTTCATGCAGGTCGGCGTTCAATCCCCGACGAGTTCAAATAATTTGACTGGACAAAGACGATTGAAGAATCCGTCTTTGGGGTCGACCACTGAATGTATTGGACTTGGACGGGGTGCCATTGGGACTTGCTTCAGTCCGTCCTGGGCCATTATCAAGGGGAATGCCTATATTTTCACACCTGTGAAATTTGGGGGTGTAGACCAGACCACACACTAGAAATTGAAGGGACGACGACGTTTCGGTCCGTCCTGGACCATTCTCAAGTCGATACGAAACGTCGTCGTCCCTTCAATTTCTAGTGTGTGGTCTGGTCAACATACTTCAGCCACGTTATTGTGACTCATCGCCTGCATTTGGGGGTGTAGTTTTGCACGGAAAACTAAATAGGGTAAGGCTTAACATGATCTATGGGAAGGGAAAGCTTTTGTAAGCGGTACAGCAAGGAGAGTACACGCACACTATAGCTCCTGACACTATGACAGGTGACACACATGACAGGTGACACCAGACAGGTGACAGGCGCCATAACGCAGCACATGGCTGACGACCGTATTGTCACCCCGGGGACCGCCGACCTTGCTGGGTGACGCTGTATGGACGTGTCGGTGTTATGTAACGTAACGCCGTGTTGACACTGAACGGTGACGTCACGCACGAGTCTTTTCGTGACGTAATTCCCCACCAAACGGTGACGTCACAAGTGGCCCTTTGGTTTTTCCAAAACAACCCGATTTAAATTACACTTTTTTTCCAGAGTAATAAAAAAACACGCGATCAGATACCTCCCCCCCCAGATGAGTAATATCCTAGTTTTCATTCACATATTTTTTTCTCTCAGAACGTGTACCCGCCAAGGCTTATCGACTGCCTAGGGTAGAACACCTTTTAAAAGCTAGAAACGGCGGAGATTAACGTGCACAAAAATTCTTATCAGTTAGTGGTAAAGACGAGTCGAGTGCGCGCACAGTAGGGCACAGTGTACATCATTGTGTACACCTGGGTACTGTCTTCCACCACCGGGGTACACAGATTAAATGTGCCTTAGTAGGCGGTAATATCTGAAGTTCATAACGAAGTCTCATTGTGAAACTTCGACTTTGGTGTTCTAGGTATCGTGAACTTTTAGTCCGCTTTACTAATTAATAATTCATAAGTGTTTTGGAGGCCATTTTCAGTGTTGGGCATAAGCTGAGCGTGGTAACCATCCTCTGACAGTTTTCAGATTATATGTATGGTATTAACAGCTTCTTCAGTTAATATTATGGATACAAGTATCGTTCGTGTATCGAGGACTTGCATATGGGTGCGTGCAGTGTGTGTGTGTGTGTGTGTGTGTGTGTGTGTACTCACCTAGTTGTACTCACCTAGTTGTACTCACCTAGTTGTACTCACCTAGTTGTACTCACCTAGTTGTACTCACCTAGTTGTACTCACCTAGTTGTACTCACCTAGTTGTACTCACCTAGTTATGCTTGCGGGGGTTGAGCTTTGGCTCTTTGGTCCTGCCTCTCAACCGTCAATCAACTGATGTACAGATTCCTGAACCTAGTGGGCTCTATCATATCTACATTTGAAACTGTGTATGGAGTCGGCCTCCACCACATCACTGCCTAATGCATTCCATTTACTAACTACTGACACTGAAAAAGGTCTAATGTCTGTGGCTCATTTGGGTACTGAGCTTTACCTATGTCCCCTTGTGCACGTACCACCCGTGTTAAATAATCCATCCTTGTCTACCCTGTCAATTCCCCTGAGAATCTTATGTGGTGATCATGTCTCCCCTTACTCTTCTGTCATCCAGCGACGTGAGGTGCAGTTCCCTCGGCCTTTCCTCGTAACTTATGCCTTTTAGTTCTGGAACTACCCTAGTGGCATACCTCTGAACTTTTTCCAGTTTCGTCTTGTGCTTGACAAGGTACGGGCTCCATGCTGGAGCCGCATACTCCAGGATTGGTCTTGCATACGTGGTATACAAGGTTCTGAAGGATTCCTTACACAAGTTTCTGAAGGCAGATCTGATGTTAGCCAGCCTCGCATACGCCGCCGATGTTATTCTTTTATGTGGGCTTCAGGAGAAGCCCACATTAACCGTGGGAGGGGGAGGTGTGTGGGTTTGTATTTGGTCGGTGAAAAACGAGAGATTAGGAAACGTGGAAAGCACTACACCACATGTTGGTGTAGGGCCGGGGCATGCGTGGCCACATGTTGGTGTAGGGCCGGGGCATGCGTGGCCACATGTTGGTGTAGGGCCGAGGCATGCGTGGCCACATGTTGGTGTAGGGCCGAGGCATGCGTGGCCACATGTTGCAGCAAGATTATTTGATAAACAAGGAAGTAGTTACAAATTACTGCAGATTGTCAAAGCTTATTGTTTCGTTGTGTATATAGTAATTGAGGGTTTTGTTGCTGTTGTAAGTCATCAGATACAGCGTGCAGGGTATCCGGTCATTTAAAAACCAGTTTGTGGTTGGAGGCGCACAATAATCGGTGACTTGTGTGACGGCTCTCTCCTGCCACCAATTTTGTTTACACAGGCGGGTACGGCACCATGCGCACCACTAATGACTCCACTTAGGTCTTCCCGTAGCTCATGGTAAACCTTACCATCGTAGTTTTCCTCTGGAACACAACCTGTCAGTCGATTTACTCCCCTACCCCCAGTTGCAGCAGAGTGAAATGGGACCTGAACATTTTGATATGTGCCCAGTCAATCCTCCCTGGCCAGACCTGTGCTCAAAGGCTTGGGTGAACGTATACAACCATAAAAGGGGTAACCCCATACAGTCGTACAAGGTCAAGCTATGGTATTCATCCATAATCTCCTTTCTTACTCTTCCGGACAACGTCAATGGGATCATATTTGTTACACTACAAGGTGTGCTCCCGCTCAAGGTGGCCTCTGGAGGGAGTGGTGGAACAGGTTGTGTGATCTTAGTAAAGTTTGTGATGCGCGTCTTGATCGGCAATTGGTGCATTCTGGCTGAAGGCAGTTTTAGTGAGCGCGCGGAGTTTGGTAGGATGTGGTAGAGGGGCGTGTTCTGGACGTTCTGATTTGTTGTAAATTGTCACCGGCTGTACGCATTGGACTACAGTACGTCTTGCGTACTGTAGTCGCAAGACGTACTGTAGTCGCAAGACGTACTGTAGTCGCAAGACGTACTGTAGTCGCAAGACGTACTGTAGTCGCAAGACGTACCTCTGGATAATCAGCCTTGCCGGTGAACTCCAATCCAATAAACCCGCAACAAGGGGGGGGGGGAGGCCACCCCCCCCATCACGCAGGCTACGTCAGCACACGACCAGCGGTCCGTCAAGCACTCTGGGCAAGCAACGACTGGGCCTAAGGTGAATAGTAGCAAGTTTCACAGTGTCCTAGTTCATTACGTCAATATATGTAAGATGGTCTACATGGTTACACAAATATATACCATCGCCACAGGAGGATGGGTTGTTGAGGGGCTGACCACAATGGTGGTTCAACCGACCTGCAGTAAAATGTTAGCTGCTTGCAACTTGCAGGTTTCCCACATTGCAACAAATTATATACAGGTCATTTGGGATTACAAATATTTCGCTTCATTGAAACTTTTATAATATTTTGTTGTTACGTCAAAAGTTTAGCTTGGAAGTGTACCCTGAAGGTCAGCAGGAGCCAGCAGCAGGAGCCAGCAGCAGGAGCCAGCAGGAGTATGTAGTAACTTGCTCTTGCCGGATAATGTTCACTTTACCGTATTTCCTGCCGGATAACACGTGCCTGATTTATAAGGTTCGTTTTGTGGAAACAAACAAACTGCGTGCTTCATTGTACACTTATTGAAAGGTATTTTAAAGGTTTATAGAGGGTGGGGGGGGGGGGGGTTACGTATGATTTTGTGCATGTAAATATAATATATATTTAGGGTATGTGATGTGGGAGAGGGAAGAGGGGGTGGGGGGGACTTACTGTCCAGGGCACCGCTGGGTCGCTGTACAGTATACACACAGTTGGTGGTGGAGCGAAACACACCGCCCACGGCAAATGGGGTACTTACAGTTTAGAGAGAGTGGGTGGGTGTTGGAGCAACTGTGTCGTGAGTACAGTTCACAGGAGTGAGGGGCGACAGGCGGCAAGTTGTCCCCGCAGAAATAATCTGGTGATTCAGATTACAGAATCAGATTCAGAATCACCTTATTCAATCTTGTGTTGATATCCTCAAAATGCTTCTGGAGTCTGCCAGTGCAGACTGCTTATCACATGCCTCTGTATGACTAACCATCCTGTGTGATGGGGATTTTTTAGCATCACGTAGTTAGCTTTTTTGACACACTGTACTCCACTTCATATAGTCTAGGGTAGCTGCACTAATGCAGATGTACCTCATATCTTGATAAAAAAAAATTAACAAATAATGAAAATAAACAAACTCTTCCCAAAGAAGTCGAGGTTATGTAATCGCGAGTATTGTAAAGTATTACCGACGCTGGCGGAGATGGTGTCGGGTTGTCGTGGTACTAAAATTGAATTTAGATTTCAAGCAAGCATACGACTTCGACAATGGTCCGGGGACGGACCGAGACGTCGTCGTCTCTCCATCTTCTGATGTTTGGTTCGATTATCAGATTTGAAGTAAGTTTATTGAAATATAAATACAAAGTTGGTGAGCAACCTCGCACTGTTCAGTACATTGCGTCCATTATATATATATATATATATATATATATATATATATATATATATATATATATATATATATTACACAAACATCACAAACACTAGACCTACTACGGAACATTCTGGGGAATAAACACTTATATTTGTTGGCTTCCTGTCACGGGCTGACATTCTTACAGGCCTTCACGGGCAGGTGCACAGGACCGCATAGTGTATACTGCGTTATTCTTCAAATCTTTTATGGTACATAATTTGGTAGTAAATGGAGTACTTCTTATTATAAAATTGTTAGTGAAAAACATGATCGTGATGTTTTCAATAATACATTACATATGTTTAACTTCTCTCGTGCGCGTGGTGTAATGTGTGTTGAAGCCCACGGATATGACCTGCAACTACGCAGTTCTCCACATGATCGTACATTTCACTACGGATTGTGTGACATGCCCTCCCCCACCCTCCACCCGCCGTGCTGTGTGACATGCCCTCCCCCCCCTCCACCCGCCGTGCTGTGTGACACCCACAATGCATTATGCCAAACAAAGCTTGACGCGAAAAATGTATTCGGTATGCAAATGAAGTGAAAGTAGGATGCAGCATCCTTAGTGCAGGATGGCCCCCCCCCCTGCTCTCCAGGCTTGTCTGGAGACTGGCTCTGGGCGCCCACCAGATCTGGGGACACCTGAAAGCGTTTTGGGAGGTATAACAGATTGTTAAAACTCCAGGGTGGTCAGTGCCTCGTTGTAGGGCTAGGTAGATGACCCCAAAGTTGTTAGTTTGTGTCCCCAGCACAGCTGTGGCCCACGAGTGGTGTCCCCAGCACAGCTGCGGCCCACGAGTGGTGTCCCCAGCACAGCTGTGGCCCACGAGTGGTGTCCCCAGCACAGCTGTGGCCCACGAGTGGTGTCCCCAGCACAGCTGTGGCCCGAGTGGTGTCCCCAGCACAGCTGCGGCCCACGAGTGTCCCCAGCACAGCTGCGGCCCACGAGTGGTGTCCCCAGCACAGCTGTGGCCCACGAGTGGTGTCCCCAGCACAGCTGTGGCCCACGAGTGGTGTCCCCAGCACAGCTGTGGCCCACGAGTGGTGTCCCCAGCACAGCTGTGGCCCACGAGTGGTGTCCCCAGCACAGCTGTGGCCCACGAGTGGTGTCCCCAGCACAGCTGTGGCCCACGAGTGGTGTCCCCAGCACAGCTGTGGCCCACGAGTGGTGTCACCAGCACAGCTGTTGATAAAGATTACAAAGACCACTTTTTTCCAATCCACAGCCGTCTTGTTGGACAAATTTCTATCAGTGTTCCCGAGACGTCTGTGGCACAGTTGTCCGTCCTCATGACCAGAGGTCTTTAATCCAGGCGCCAAACCCTCGTTTATGAACAACAAACGGTTTACACGAGACTCGAACTAGTGACATTCGAACATTTCTTGAACATGGCTTCACTGACGACCTGTGTTCGAATAGCAACCCCGTAAATGCTTCATCCACGTCCTTCAAAAGTCAATAATTGTCAACAGGGTTACCCCTCTATGGTCAGTGACACTTTCAATCGCCATTTAACATACGGATAATTTTCCCTTGTCCAACTTCAATTTGCTGAATGGGCAACTTGTTCATCAGTAACAACTGATATGTCCACACATTCGCACTTCAATTAAATAAAAGTTACACATTTTGTCTCTTGAGGCTTTCTCTGTGTGTGTGTGTGTGTGTGTGTGTGTGTGTGTGTGTGTGTGTGTGTGTGTGTGTGTGTGTGTGTGTGTGTGTGTGTGTGTGTGTGTGCATCCCTACCAACTGGAACTGAAAGCGTGCCACCAGCACCTCATCAGTACATCCTTGTAACAGATGTGAGGCGAGTGTGTAATGTGCACGAGCCAGCGCACTAGTGTGACGTGTAGGTAACCCCGCCCTGCACACCCTACCACTCTCCGCACACCCTACCACTCTCCGCACACCCTACCACTCTCCGCACACCCTACCACTCTCCGCACACCCTACCACTCTCCGCACACCACTCTCCGCACACCCTACCACTCTCCGCACACCCTACCACTCTCCGCACACCCTACCACTCTCCGCACACCCTACCACTCTCCGCACACCCTACCACTCTCCGCACACCCTACCACTCTCCGCACACCCTACCACTCCCCGCACACCCTACCACTCTCCGCACACCCTACCACTCTCCGCACACCCTACCACTCTCCGCACACCCTACCACTCTCCGCACACCCTACCACTCTCCGCACACCCTACCACTCTCCGCACACCCTACCACCTACCACTCTCCGCACACCCTACCACTCTCCGCACACCCTACCACTCTCCGCACACCCTACCACTCTCCGCACACCCTACCACTCTCCGCACACCCTACCACTCTCCGCACACCCTACCACTCTCCGCACACCCTACCACTCTCCGCACACCCTACCACTCTCCGCACACCCTACCACTCTCCGCACACCCTACCACTCTCCGCACACCCTACCACTCTCCGCACACCCTACCACTCTCCGCACACCCTACCACTCTCCGCACACCCTACCACTCTCCGCACACCCTACCACTCTCCGCACACCCTACCACTCTCCGCACACCCTACCACTCTCCGCACACCCTACCACTCTCCGCACACCCTACCACTCTCCGCACACCCTACCACTCTCCGCACACCCTACCACTCCCCGCACACCCTACCACTCTCCGCACACCCTACCACTCCCGCACACCCTACCACTCCCCGCACACCCTACCACTCCCCGCACACCCTACCACTCCCCGCACACCCTACCACTCCCCGCACACCCTACCACTCCCCGCGCAGCTGCGCGCTGCTAATGTCACTTTGCATAAGAATTGAGGCCACCATAGAAGGATTATTAGCTCGCAGAATACTGTACACTCATGGCTGTACACTCCATGTTGTACCCCGCACATGTCGGCCCCCCCCCCCCAAGCTACACTGTACTACACCTAGTGTACTATCCCTAAAGCGTACAGTCGTCAAAAGTTGTGTACGAAGCGTCTGCACGCATTGTGTCAACGTTATGCTTCACTGACCCATGTCTGTGTACCTTGTGTACCTGTTGATTTTCCCTCGGATATACATCCCCGCGGCCCGGTCTCTGACCAGGACTACTGGTCTGCTCAACAAGGCTGTTTGACTCGTCTGCTTGTAACTTAATGCATGTCTCACAGCCTGGTTGATACTTTAACATTCAGAGATATTTATCAAGTTCTCGCTTGAACATCGTGAAAGGTGGGCGGTTGTGTGTAGAGAGAGTTACCTTTAAGGAATGTTTAGGTGAGTGGAGCAGACGGATAACAGTAGGCCCATTGTTTCACAACTTGGTTATTTGTCTGATTTAAGCGCTCTAATATTACAATAAAAATGTAAAAGACACTCTTCTTACCTTCCATTCCCTTAGACTTACTCTGCCGGCATAAAAGTATTACGGGAAACGGTAATAATGGTCTTGTGTAGTACTCTAATACTACCGCAGAGGCGGGTGCTAGGTGTAGGGGAGGCGGGTGTAGGAGGGTGGAGAGCCTAGGTTGAGTGGAAGGGTCCAAATCACCAATAAGATGAGGTGTTGGGAGCAGGGTTCTGCCCTGGAGGCCTGAGCCAGCGGTTCATAGAGCACTTGCACAACTTCTTAAGAAACCTGTACATCATTCTGCAGGCGATGAGTCACAATAACGTGGCTAAAATATGTTGACCAGACCACACACTAGAAGGTGAAGGGACGACGACTTGAGAATGGTCCAGGGCGGACCGAAACGTCGTCGTCCCTGTACATCTATCCTCAATCATGGCGCCTTTGTTTACATTGAAGAGTTGGAGCTCGGAGGCACTAAGAGGTTGTATCTTGGGTTGTGAAGCTTCGCAGGTCGTAAACCGTTAATGTAATCAAAGCCGATGTGATTGAGGAAAGATGTACAGGCTTCGTTAAGAGGTTGCGTAAGTGCTTCATGAATCCTGGTCCTGACTGTACTTATGAGGAATGTGTGAGAGGTTCAGGGATTTAGCAGAGGAGGATAAGGCTAAAGAGTACTCGCCTATTTGTGCCTGCAGGATCGAGCTTTAGCTCTTTGATTTCGCAAATGTCGGATCCTCGAAGTGCATTCTTCCTGGTCACAATGTAGAGACGTGCCCACACACAGTTATGGGGAACATTAAGGTACACTCTGAGTGGTGGGGTGTTAATGGGGGAGGGAGATGTGGTACCCAATAGCGTCTAGACATTCACCTCCCCCCCCCAAATTGCACCTAAAAGCACATGCGCATTCTCGCGAGCACACGCACATAACCTCGGTCAGTCTCTAAAATCGCCATGACACAGGAGGGTCAGTTGTTCAAGGCCATGTGGACAGTAGCCTACACTGGCAGACTTGGAGTGCATTATAATGATGTCAAGAACACTAAAGTTAATACTGATTGCAAGTCTTCAGGTATACCTCGTGCCGGCGGATTCTTAAAGGGTCTTATAACTAGACATTCAGTAATGTAGTCTTAGAGACCATGACCCAGTGCCTCGCAACCCAGCTCGTTCTCTAAGATTTGCCACTCTGAAAAAATACATCTGTTTACCCTAACTAGAACTGTATCAACCTAATAAACCCACTCATAGAAAACGGTGCTATAATTTCCACTTATGTGTCATTTTTAACGGATTAGTGGACGCCGTAAAAAAAAAAATGAGACGCATTTGGCGACTTAATTATAATTTATTGTCGGGGGACAGGAAGCCAGGTTATACATACAGTATATGTTAGGCTTATACCAAGTACTTCATAAAGATGGTGTGACAAATGTCCTGGACGCCACGGTCACTGGAACAGTGGTAGTGTACCCCTGGAGCACACACAGGTCGGCAAGGCAGCTGCCACACACCACTCAAAGCTCGCTTGTAAACAAAAAACACGTGGCTCCATGACGTCACGTGCAAGGGGGCGTGTACTCTCCTTTTACGACGGGATGAGGGCAAGCCTAGTGCAGCCTGGTGCAGGCGTTGAATGCCACGGTGGAGGTGTGGGGCCTTATAAGTCCAGGTGGTGGGCTGTCGAGCTCCACCTGTCTGGCTCAGTGTGTGCTGCAGGCAAGCGGGATTGGGATTGGGGCGGGGGGATTAGAAGGTAGATGTATACATAATTTCCATTGTCAGGAACAGGGTGGTGTCTGTACTTAGGACTATCCACGCTTGCCCCCCTCTCACCCCCCCCTTATGCAACTCAACAATTGCCTAACTCACAGGTATCTATTTTACAGCTAGATAAACAGAGGTATCAGGTTAAAAGAAACGTGCTCAACGGTTTCTGCTCTGGCCGGGATTGCATCTGGGTCCCACGATTGAGAGCAGAGAGCGTAGACCACTGTTACAGGACCCGTTGTATATTGGTTGGAATCTGTTGAAATGGGATTAAATGTATCCTTGAGTGATCTTTATTTAGTTTGGCCAGTTGGGCATCAATGTTACTTGTGTTCAGTTCTTTACACACGTGCACTAGACTACACCGCGAGCACTACACATAGGAAAGCAGTGTTACGTAGCCATTACCGGCTATTCATACCCGTGCCACCTCTTGGGTGGCTTAATCTTCACTAATCAATCGTTACGTAGCCTCGTGAGCTTGTGGTCACGCACGTTATACCAGCCCGTCCTCCCAAGGGTTCCCAACGTCACTAAACTGTTGTATTAAAATGTCAGAACCGAACCAACCCAAGGAAACACGAACAGAAAACGGGACATCTTCAATTTTGCGAGCCGCCGCTAATTATTTGTGGCCTTAAATAATGTTTGTCAAAATGCGCCTTGGTCTTAAGAGGACGTCTTGACGAGTCGTACAGACAAGCCTCGTACCACCTAGAGCACGGCTGCCCAATTTAGGACGCTCCGCATTATGAAACAAATTGATATAAGGACCGTACCTCAAGAATTCTACCAAACATTTGTACACCTGAAAGAAAGGAATATTGCAGCCCATCATCCTGTTATGGTAGTACTTACAGTAAGAATTCTGTACATATACCGACGTACAACGCAATTAGGAAGTAGAAACGGTACTATAGAATTTGGACAAACCGGGAAAAAAACTATCTTTTGTCGGAAAGGTGAACTAAACTAACCTTCTGAGGCCTAATATATTACACGGGTGCGCTACACCAGTCGGAGTACTGTTTTTTAGTTTTTTTTTGTACTCGCTGAGTAACTAAACAATACATAGCCAGTAGGATTAGTAAATTGTTATAATTGGCAAAGTTGACTTACTGGAAGGAACGGTTGCGGTACGAGTTTTTTTTGGTTAACGCTGCCGGGAGGCAAGGAAAACATTCAATTGTAGCATTTGGATTTTAAACCCGTGTCACCTCTTGGGTTATAAAATATAAAAACAATGTAAAACGATTATGGCGAGGGCGGCATCACTCCTGTGCCAGGTAAGTCCACTACGGGCTCACCATAGCCCGTGCTACTTGCCCCGCTCCTGTGCCAGGTAAGTTACGGGTCCACCATAGCCCGTGCTACTTGGAACTTGTTCCGAGTAACTAAATCATCCATGATTATGGGAGATTAAGACGGGCCATGATTTAAATAGATTGGTAACATTAAAAACAAATAATAGGAGATCCTTACTAGACGTCCCCACGCGAATCAGATGACCTGCCACTGGACTTGTACAGTACACAAGGATCCCAACACAATAGACGTCTCCACGTCTGTTGTTACTGGGTGTACTGTTGCATGTTCATGGGGGAAATAACAGTAGTCGAGGGCCGCGTACGAGAAGTATCGCCACCCTTCTCGTGTATCTGGGTAGGCGAGTCACTGGATGACTTGGATAGAAAGAGATGCGAGGTTTGAAGAGGCAAGAGAGAGCGGTGGAAGGGGGACTCTTGGTGAACGAATATGGTCTAAAATCCGAATGTTCGCGCGCTGTCATTGCTACTCTGAACCAATCTAAGGCAATCCGTGCTATTCTATCAAAAACAGGCCACAAAACCCCGAAGGGGTCAAGAGAGCAGAGTCCCCTTCATAAAGCTTTTTGATGGAGTGTCCTGTAGATTACTTACATAGTTTGCAAAACATAAATTTGGGGATTGTAATTCTTTGCGAACTGGTGTGGTTATTAATCACTCTTGATCCTTACCACTGAGCGCATGTGCGCACAATTATATATCATTAAGAACGTGACACTCGACACCACTTGACACATTAATAATACTGTCAGTGTCTGACGTTGCAATTTCTCAACCTACCTCCCCCCCCCCTCTAACCATGGTAAACTGTACCGTCATTCCCTCCCTCTACCTCCATCTGCAACGTCACTCCCTCTCTTTACCACCATCTCTGCTGTTAGTGGCCATCCCCACTCCCCTCATCCCTAGTGGCCATCCCCACTCCCCTCTTTCCCCAACCGTTTGGCTCCTATCCCCCGCCCTAGATCTGGTACTCCGCCCAGTCTGATGGAGTGAGCCTGGAAGTCCTCGTTACCTGACTCCCTTGGCAACCCGGCTCGTATAAGCCGTCCCGCTCTGATGAGCCATCCTGTGAGATGCGGATGCTTGTATAGTTCAGGGAAGCTGCAAAACGATGGGTGTACGTAGATGGGTCAGGTCACCTTGAGGTGCTTCCGGGGCTTAGTGTCCCCGCGGCCCGGTCGTCGACCAGGCCGCGGGTTCTGTACAACAGTGATATATACGTCTTCGCCTTGCAGTCAAGGAACCAGGGCTCACTGTCCCTCGGGCAGGAGATAAACAGTTGGGAGTTAGGCAGCTGTTGTGGGTGGCATCCTGGAGGAGGTGGTTAGTAGTTGGCCTAGGATGATGGGGGGGGGGCCTAAATAAGCCTAAGTACAGGCATC